CACTGTGGCGTCCATGCAAGACGGAGACTTCCATCTTGTCAATCTGCAAGCTCACACATTCGTTTAGATGACTGCAGACTGTCTCCTCAGCAGTCATTTCATGCTCAGCACGGTGTTTTCTCTCTCTGCCTAAATGCTGGAATTAAATAAATGGGTGATTGAGTCCTAATATAGTTGCTTGATTAGTTTAATTGTCTGAAATAGAGATGGAAATGCCTTAGTCAAGAATATGGTAGTCTTGTGCATGAATAAACTCAATCAGATTAATTTACAATTCTGCATAGATATTTAACAAGAGGAAGTGTGGTTTATACGGTCAAACTAAACGCCACTTTTTAGGACTAACTAAACGAGTGGCTGGAAACACCGAACACAATGTGTATTTTATTTAAAAAAGGCTCATACATGAGCACTCCTCAGAAAATATGAATGCAAGAAAGTCAATTAAAATTGTGTCTCCCACATAAATGAAACTGAGGTCAGAGGGCAGCGTAAATACCTTCCCGATGTATGGAAAAAGGACATAAATTTAAATAGCTCAACAACACACAGCACAGAGTTATTGACTCACATCTGGACATAATATGCTCTCTCCTCTCCGCAGAAAAGGTATAAACAATTTTGATTTAAAGCCTATTATATTCTATTATATAAAAATGCCACCATATATTATTCTTAAGGGTGTACAGTAAGTTTACAAAAGAAAGGACTTTGTACTTTGCATGTTTAACACACAATGGTAATGTTTTCATATGCCACACTTGTTTTTCATTTTTAAATTGATAAACACCAACAACACTTTGCTCAAAGTCAGACATAATAAAAATGTAAAGAAAAATAAGCTTGAATAGAGAAAATCAAATCACAATGTTATTTACAGTGCATGTTAATTCTTTTGAGTAACACTTGTTTTCCATTTCCACAGAGTAGATTTTAGTTTTTGCATTTTGGTTTCTGGTAAACAATAGGTTTGGATGTTTCAAGAAAACCAAAAATTTGCCGGTAGCCATTGACTTCCATAGCATTTTTTTCCTATGGAAATCAATGGCTACCGGCAACTGTTTACTACCAACATTCTTCAAAATATCTTCTTTCATGTTCAACAAGAAAGAAATTCAAACAGGTTTGGAACAACTTTTCATTATTTCTGAATTAACTTTGCCTTTAAACTCCTGTTTGCTGTGGCACCTGCACAGTTTTAGCCACTGTGCAGCTCCCTAAACATTTTTTTTTGCCTTTTTCTTAGAGCCAAGTGAGCCGCATGCTGCAGAGGGGAGCAAGGACACATTCGTTTAGGTGAAATATTATGTTGCGCTGTAGATTTCTCCCTACAAAGGTGGAAAAAAGCAATGCATCTAATCTATGTTTTGCAATAGGCTGCTGTGATTTCACACTCACGGGAGAACGGTGTGTCTGGAGAGGCAGCCACAACAGCTATGGTAATAGACTGAGCAGAACGGCTGTGCCACGCGCCTGGCTGGCCTAGTGTATCTCCAAATGAGATCAGTGGTTATTGACTCAATGCTGTTATCTTTAATCTGTGGAGTAAATTACTTTGGATGCTGCCTCTCTACCCTGGTTTCTTTCCCCTTCTTCTATAACTCCACCCTTACAATTCCATTTGAGGGGTGCAGGCTGCTATTTACTGGGCCGTGTGTGTGTGTGTGTGAGACACGAGGACATGATCAACGCCCTGAGGAACCAGGAATCGAGGGAGGCCCTATTTCACTGGGAGGATTACTGCCACCCCCAACTCTTTCTTTCTCGTTCTTCCTCTCTCTCGTCTCTAAAGCCTGGCATGTCTTATCACAGGTTCTGTATAAAGTGCTGGGCCTCAGGGGAATGTCACCTTGGGGGAAAAAAGTGCTTCTCCATTGAGAAAAGAACGTTGAAGATCATATGGGTGGGCCTTTATAAAAACTGATTGAGAGCTTTTAAACCTCATTTTTTACATTTTCCAAAAAAGTCAAATACAGATCAACATGATTTTTTTTGGTTAATTAATGTCTGGTTGAATATATTTGTATCATATTTATCAAAACTACATATATACAGCCATTCAAAACGTTTTGGTCAGTAAGATTGTTTTTTAATTAATATTTTTATTCAACAAGGCTGCATTAAACTGACCAAAAGTGACAGCAAATACATTTAGAAATGTTAGAAAAAAATTCTACTTCAAAAACATTCTGCACTTTTGATCTTTCTATTCATCAAATAATCCTGGACAAAAAAATAATCACAGTTTCCACAAAATATTAAGCAGAACAACAGTTGTCAAGATTGATAATAATAATAAGAAATGTTAATTGAGCACCAAATTAGAATATTAGACTACACTGTAAAAAATTACTGTGAATTTAACGGTAAAAGACTGTAAAAATGCTACAGTAAAAACCTGTTAAATGGTTAACGGTAAATTCCCCTTCTATATACGGTGAAAAACTGTATTGGACATTACATGTATTGGACATAAATTTTACGGTAGTATACCATTTTTGGAAGTGAAAAATACCATATAATTTAAAGTGAATAACCGTAAATTGACATTCCTAGAATTCCCTGTGTTATATTTCAAATTTGATGTTTTTTTGTTGAAATAACTATGTTTCTTCTTAGTTTTTTCTTATCAGTTTTGTATATTAGGGTTGTGTGTTACACCTAATGTTGTTAAATGAATGTTTATTGCATTATTTCAGTTTCATGTGTGTTACCATGATGGTGTTTAGTGTTTGTGTGAATGACACTGTGCACCTTCTATATATGTTATTATTTAAAAGCTGCTTGTGATGGGCTTTGGTTCATCATGTGACTTTCTCATCACCTCCTGCATTTGGTGGTTATCAGTGAATTACAAAGCTACAAAACAGATTTCAATACTTCAATAGGTTGGTATATTAACATTATATCAGTTAATGAAATTACGGTATTTAACTGTAAATTTAAGTTAAAACCGTAAAACCTAAAACGTTGCTACCAAATTTTTTATGGTAAAATTCCGGCAACCACAGCTGCCGTTTTTTTACCGCAAATTTTACGGAATTTTTTTTACAGTGTATTGTAGAATATTGATACAGTATATTATAGAATACTGATTTCTGAAGAATCATGTGACACTGAAGACTGGGAGTAATGGCTGCAGAAAATTAGGCTTATATATAAAAACAATATTAAATTGTAATAATATTTAACAATATCACTGTTTAACTGCATGTGCACATTAGAGACTACACCTTACCAACCCCAAACATTTGAACGGTTTAAATATATTTATATACTGTATATATGTGTGTGTGAAAATATATTTATAGAAATGTATGAATGAATTATTTTCAGATTTTTGTCCCTTTCCTAATTGTTTCCCCACACTATCTTAAATCTTCCCAATCATATTAGGAAGTCTTAGGCTGGCCTCCCCTCCACATACAGTACATTTTGGACTTGACCAATAATGTCCCAAAGATCTATGACTTGTTATATCTATGACTCAGTTTCCCAATGGATGTGGGATGTTTTTAAAATGTATTTTCAATTTACAAATACCTATAGTCTGTTATATGTCTGTATCTTTCGTAAAATCGTACAATTGGATTAAATTTTTTTTTACGCAGACTGCGTCTTCCATATTAACATAAGCATGATGGAGATTTCAGCAATGAGCGGTAATTGCTCCCCCTGTCATCTCTGTTGTTGCAGTGGGATTCTGGACATCTCATCAGCTAGAGGGTGCAATAGACCGTGTAGTGGGGAAGTGTTCTCTCTTTCCACATTACTGCACTATGTTTATTTACAGAATGCTTTCTGAGCAGCAGAAGCGGCCTTGATTAAGTGTACGCTCTTTATGTGACATCTAACAGATTAAAACTGAAGGAAAGCTTGCTGGAGGCCTTCCTTCATGAATATTTGCTTTGATAGCGGCAGACGTGTTTGTATACAGATTTAGTTAAAAATAGGAAGTTTAAAGATACATTAACGTAATATAATACAAGTACTATACTGTTAGATTATGTTATTGTTAGATATTTTATTGTTATTATTGCATGTAAAAAATAAAATTAGATTTGCGTATGAGGAAACTAACCAGATTTGCTGATTTTATTGCTTTGTTAAAATGAAAAAAAAAACTTTATTATTATTATTTAAACTTTAATAGTAAAATAATAATAGATTATTGTTTTTTAAAAAATATTATTATTCCTGATTTTTTCTTTTCTTTTTTTTAAACTTAAATAATAATAATAATAATTTATTGTATTGAAGAAATCCCATAAAATGCATCTTTAGTCCATCTGTGGAAATGGAATACTTTTAACCAAATACTAAAAAACAAACAAACAAAAAAACATTGACCTCAATCTCTCCAAATGACATACAATTGCAATCATACAGACAATAAATGTTCATTGAGTTATATAACAGTACGTCAAAGTGAAAGAGGGTGTGAGTGACAGAGAATTACTTGAAATGCTTCATGAAGGGTCCATGTAGCTAACTATCAGTTTTAACACTACTACAATATAGTATCGGTAAACAATCATAGACTCCATAAGAGAAAGCCGAAGCTTTGTAAATCAATGTTTATATCCATATTTCCCTTTGATATTTACTGGAGAAAAAATAGTACGGCTATATTAGTAGTTTACAGATAGCATATGCAAACCTTAGAGGTTTTTCTTTTAATATTTTAATGAATAGCAGTCATCGCTACTTCTAATAAGTGGGTGTTCAGTGAGGCCTTTAATGTAAAGACTGCAAATATACGTATGCGAGTCTAGCGCTGCTGTTGTTTTGCTCAAGTTGCTCATTGCTGTGCCATTTAGTAAGGCAAGTAAACTCACTTCCTGGCCCGCTCCCTGTCCACATAAATCAGCTGAGCTCATGCCCATAAATCTACGGCGCGACTAAATGAGAAAACTCATTGGACAGCACCACTCACCCCCCCACCCCCCACCCCTCTCTGTCACTCAGCCCCTCCCCTACTGGACCACACATTTCAATACAAACAAAACAGATTCCAAATCAATAGCCAAGCAACAGAAAGGCTGGATAACCACAGGTTTATAAGAAGAGCTTTAGCCCAAATGTGACTGTTCGGAGAAGGTTCGCTTATGACCCGGAGGCGTTTTGCTCTATTGAACGTAGAGGCGGTTGGGTTGTTTGTTTGTGTTTGTTTTCTTTTGTTTGTTTGTTTGTTTGGATTGATTCTCTCTCTAGTAGGGTGTGAAGCGACTGTAACCTCCTCTGTAAAGGCTAGCCTGCAACATCAAAGATGAAAAAACAAAAAGGACCCAATCAGTGTTAAATAGATTCTTTGGGGTGAACAGTGGTTGAAATTTTCCTCCCTTTCGTCTCAAGTTTGGAAAGAAATTACGCTGTGAATTTCAACTCGGATGGGTGTCAGAGTTCAGAGTTTCATGGATCAACCAGGTAACGACTAAAATAGCCCAATGCGTTTCATCAGTTGCTCTGGATCGAACCTCTCCATCACGGCCGTCTGGCCCTCAGGTTGATCTGATTGGAGACATCTAACACGCACTGCTTTCTCAGACCTCTCCTTAACCGGACTGCAGTAGTGCCCTCCTCTGCTCTTGCCAAATACAAAAAACTTCAAAGGCTCTATGGGCCGTTCTCCTCAGCTCCAACCCTGTGCAAAATACACACGCCTTAAACGTGGCATGAATTCTGTTCTAACAGAGAGCAAAGCAAACTCACTTTTTTTTTCGAACCCTCTGAGGGGCTCATTATTAAATACTTTTTACTTGTGATCTGCTGGTCAAATATGATTTAATGATATTCATTTCATTCTCAGCAGGCTCAGTGCAAGTACTGAGAGGAGTTCTGCTCATTTGAGTCACAAGCGGTTCGGTCCTGGCATCGCTGAGAACTCTGAGTGCCCACTTCGGCCCCCCTGTGGCCCTCGTTCGACCGGAGGAGCGCCGAAGGATATTTGCTATGCCTTAACGTGGCAAATTGAAGTCTTGAGAAAGGGAGGAAAATTTGATAAAAAAAGAAAAGGAGGCAAAAAAGCAACACAGGCCACAGTTTTAATTAAGTAAATGAAGAGGAAAAAAATGGTCTTAATTAATGAAAGCTTTTAGCTAGCAGCTGCACCGGGGAATAGTACGGTTTTGAGAATCACACGGATGTCGACTTGGTAAATTCCAGTCATTTGTCTTAGGCAGAGTGTTTGTCCAATAAGCCTCATGGGCAGGGGGAGGTGGGTGCGATGGAATCGTTTTTTTCTCTTTCTTTTTTCCCCGTCGTTCTTCCTCTATCTCTCACCTTTTCTTTAATCTCCCTCGGCACGCTGCTGCACGCGCTTGATGGTCGTTAATCTTGAGAAAAGTCCCGACCAACAGCCGCAAAAAAACTAATCATAAAGAATTTTCACTTTTTGTGTTCAGATAGGAGTTTGAGAATTTTTCATCTTTGATGTTAGCTGCAAAAGCTAGCTAAAAACAAACATTAACGGGACGATGATCCCCACATTTGCTGATATGCAAAGGAAAGTGTCTCATTTGGAAGGTCTAATCAAGTGTCAGTACGCTGGATTACCCCAATGCATTTAATGAGATACAAAGTGCCCAGGATCCATCTTGACAAACGGTCACATACACATATATCAGCTGATGAGTCTCGGAATATATAAACATATATCCATAGCCCTGACATAAATAATGCAAATGTAAACAAGGTCCAAAATTAACACTTTCCAACTGCCAAATACAAGTATAAATCGGCTTTGGCGAGTAAATAAAACACTTCGCCAGTTGGCCAGTTGCAATCTGTAAGAACGATTCCTTATGTAGCTGAGAAAAGTGATTAAAATAAAAAAGATAATATCATTTACCAATAAATAAATACATAAAAAATTGTTGTGGCTTGCACAGTTGTTAGTTTTTTGTTGTTGTTCTAATACATATGTTCAAAAAGAGCAATAAAATCATATTGTATATGTTTTTATTTATTATTTATTTAAATTTTTTTTATTAAATATAATGTATGTATAAATAAAACTCATTTATGGCTGGTCATTTTGGACCCTGAATATGAATATGATCATGTACAATATTAAAGACTTCAGCCACCCCAACTACATATCTTCAGCTCACAGCACATCCTTCAATCAGTACTATAATATTTACAATTATACTATTCATAATTCAATTAGATTGAACAGAATGCACAGTTATATCTTTCAGCATTATTATAGTTACACTGGACTCTGCCTTGTATGTTGTTGGGGTGCTTGGGTCTGTGTAATGTTAGGGCATGGATGAATATTTCATGCATCACGTTTCTAGACTCACCATAGTGCCCACGCTGTACGTGGCTGCAGGTCCAATCGTGTGGTGATAAGGGTCTGCTGTTGCATAGACTCTGCCATAGCTGCAGGAAAAGGAAGAAACGGAGAGGGCATTGAAGCTTCGAGAAGATGGTATGCTCCAGTGAACGCTGTTCATTTGAACTAGACCCATTTTCACTACACCCTTCCTCCCTCTCTCTTGCCCTCGCTTTCTTTTTGTCTGATAAAAATGCAATCACTGGCTTGCCATAAATACACGGTATAAAGGTAAGAGTGTGTTAAAAGTGATAGGTGCTCTGTTATTGTTTTGGAGTAAAAGTATTTTATCTTATGAGCATGTGGTAAAAGTTATATTGGTCAGAGAGGGAGAAGACACCGAAAAACACAGCAGAAAAGACAAGAAAATGGAAAACAGAAATGAAGAACCAACAGCAGCATTGCACGCTCATTTCTAACATGTGGTACACTTTTATATCCCTATCATACTGGATAAAATATTAAACTCATAATTTTAAAAGATGGAAATTATTTGAGCATTCTTTTATCACAACATAACAATTAAGTGAACATTGCGGTGAATCTAAATAATTGTATTACCTTTGTTTGAGTTTATGTTGCCATTTTTTTTAAAAGTAATCCTCTAATCAAAATGTTGTGTAATTGTTTTTTTATGTTCTCAACATTACTTTCTATGTATACTTTCTATATCATTTATTTTTCGTGATATAATCCCTTTAAACTATCAAAAGCGACCAGGAAGTGACACAATTTTGGTGGAAAAAGAAATCAAAATCAAACACAAAAATCAATCATTTTTAGCAAAGGATTTGATTAATTCTGTGATGGTTTATGCTATTCATTGATACTCTTATTTGAAATATGATTACACAAATATGTATCATTAAAAGTTCAAACATAAAAAAATTCCAAAATATATGAATTAATTTAGTTTTCATGCTTGTGTAAGCAAGTAAATAATCAAGTTTAAATAAATAAATAAACTCATTTTCTATAAATACTTCCTTAAATGACAACATTAGCAAATTCAAACTTTCAAAGTTACAAGGTTCTAAAAGTACTGCAGAACAGGAAGGACCCAGCAAGGAAAGAGATGTGTGGATGCTTTGGATTTTGTGTTGTTGTGCATGTGCATTAAAAAAGCGAGTGAAGGAGGCAGAGAGTTTATGTTCACAGCTCTCTTTATCCTTTTCATGCTCCTTTGCCCTCTCTTGTTTACCCAGGCTGCACTGTAAAGAGGCACAGGGCTGGTGGCGGCGGTGGAGTCTTTTCATTGGTACCGATTTGGAACTAATTCCTCCAAGATGGGCCTTACTTCTTCCTTTATTTATTTATTAACCCCCAGCACTTCCCTTCTTCATTTGTTGACTTTCCCTACAAACACACGCTTGCAAATGAGGGCCTGCGGGGAGCAGATAAGGCAGGCCGAGCGGGGTGCCGAGGGCACAGACTGAGAGAGGAGAAAAGAGGAGAGAGGGGGGAAATCCTGGGCCCAGACATGCTATTACATATGGAAATACTATCGGATCTGACCAGGTTTTTGTTGTCCGGGATTATTACAACATCAAAGGTCAGGCCAGCTCAGTGGAGTGCGAGAGCCGAGCGGAGTGGATTTTAACTGCCTGTGACAGACAGTGCAGATGAGGGTGGCTGGGAATCCCCGTAACACTCCAGCCGGGCCGGGCTACTTAACCTGCAGCTTAACCCGGGCAGCGGGAATGACCCACTCCAAAGTAAACCTGGATAGCTAGTTCCAGTTGTATTCAAAAAGAGTGATTTTTCTCCTTTAAAGTGGTTTCCATTTGATAATTAAGTGATAGTTCACCTAAAACTGAAAATACTGTCATCATTTACTCATCTTCTGTGACTTTCTTTCTTTTGAGGGACACAAAAGAAGATACTGCAGTGTAAAAGATTATGTAAATAAAGATTATTGGAGTATGTTTTACAACAAAATACTATTTCAGTTTTTCTATTTCAAAATGTTATGTTTAATTCAACGTGTTATTTGCTGTTTCTAAATTTTCTGAATGAAAATCGCTTCAACACCATTTTGTTTTTCCTGTGTGTGAAACATTTTCATAACCATACAGTTTTGGTGACTATTTACCTCCATTGTATGGACAAAAAATATATATTTTTAAATATCTTCCTTTATTTTCCACAGAAGAAAAATGTATACAGGTTTGGAACAACATGAGATGAAACACAAAATCATTCATTTTTGTGTTAACTATCCCTTTAAGAAATCTTTTTTTAAAAGGAAGGCTATGCAAATTAAAAATTCTATCATCATTCTGTTGCTCCCATATGACTTTCATTAATCTGGGGAACACTAAAGAATATATTTAGAAAAATGTCCCAGTGTTTGTTTTTGTTCATACAATGGAAGTCAATGGAATCTAATGTTATTTTGAACTCCACTGACTTTGATAGTATGGACAAAAACGTTTGGAAAAAATCTTCAGAATATCTTCTTTTGTGTTCAGCAGAAGAAAGAAAGTTGCGTGAGTAAATGATAAGAGAATTAATACTCTCTTAAGAGGTGAGTTCAGGAGTCTGTGTCATTTAAACACTTACTTTTAAAACCCCTCCGCCATGACATATCAAATTAGAGTGCGAAACGCAGAGCTGGCTTATGTGAAAGCAAGGCGCTGAACGACAAGCGATGCAGAAAGAGCTAGAGAGAGAAAAGGAGAGTTGGAGCGAAAGAGGGGATGCGGGAAGGGGGCTGATATAAGTGAGGTGGAATGCCAGTCTTGTCACCTGCTCTGATGTGGATCTGTGCTTGGCTCTGATAAATCTTACATTATCTGGGCTCTTCAGGCTGGCAGGCAGGGCCGTGCCTTATCGGCACTGACACGCTCAATCTTGCCTAGATTAAACCAGTGCCTGGCCTGATCCAACCTGACAGGGTCCCCACAGGTCCTGGATAAATTACTGACAACCCTGCACCACCTTCGTCTTCACACACACATACACACTCAACCCTGTGGCCTGACGTGAGTAAGCTAAGTGGTTACGAAAATTCAGGTTGAATCAAGTTTAAAGGGCGAGAGTGTATCAAAGATAGGGAAGCAAAGTCTAAATGATCTAATTGAACCCAGTTCAATAAGAGAGCAGATCTGTAAACTCATACCGGGCTTTCAGGGCGGAGGAAAACACTTTTCAGAATGACTTCAGAACTCAAATGCAGTTCAAAGTTGCAGTGCATAATGTCCTGCCAGGCCTTAAAATCTGTTTCCTCATAACCATCATTCTTTGAAATCAGAGAAAAATTTATGATTTTAATCTAAATTTGTCAAATAATGAGGTAAGACCCAAAGAAGTGGCTTGATAAATGCATTTTTTTTCTTACAGTATATTGACAGATTTCTTTTTGAAACAGGGCAGGACTTTTTATCTAAAAGCACTTATATAATTTACTATATAATTATTGCAATTGCAATATAATTTTTTAATTTTATTTCCAAGTTTAAGTAAATGGCTTTTATACTATCACTGTGTGGAAGCCAAAACAAATTCTTTGTCAATATTCATCTTTTTGCTTCATTTCTTTTTTCTGCATTAACCTCAGCAGCCTGAAAAATACATTTTTGTATTTTTTTTTTTTATTGTCTCTGAACCTGGATAGCTAGTTCCATTCGTATTCAAAAATTGCGATTTTCCTCACCTCAAATGGTTTTGATTAGATCATTAAGAAATAGTTCACTCTTTGATATCTCAGTGAAAGGCATTTTTTCATGATACATGGGGGGCGGCAAGAGCAGTTAATAATCCTATTTTTTAAAAAGTTAAAAAATTAAAATAATCCTCTGCGCCGCCGCCGCGAAGCGGTTTTCTGTTATCTATCATTTCACTGGGTGGGGAATTGGCAAATTGGCACCCCTGCTTGCTGAGAAGGTGCCGTGCACAGAAGCTGTGTGAGAAGGGGAAAGGGGAGCGGGGCGCGGCGCGGCGCGGGGGACAGTTCACCTCTGGGTCTCTCCCAAATGGAACGGACGGGGGGGATCCACTGTATAGAGCAGGGGTGGCGAACGTCGGTCCTGGAGAGCCGCAGCCCTGCAGAGTTTTGCTTCAATCCTAATCAAACACACCTGAACAAGCTAATCAAGGTCTGAAGGGTTACTAGGAAGCTACAGGCTTACAAGTTTTCATTAGGGTTTGAGCTGAACTCTGCAGGGCTGCGGCTCTCCAGGACCGGAGTTCGCCACCCCTGGTATAGAGCAATACTCTAATGGAATTAGTGGGCTAAAGTCAGTCACACCTCGACTTTCTTCCAAATAACGCACATTTCATTCATAATATTATAAATACAGCATAGTTCCTGCACATTTTTGCTTTTCTGAATTGTGTGAAATGGCTAATAAAAATAGATAATACTAAACGATTATGTGGTCACCAAGGTGAATTGGTTTAGTCTTGACTTCTGGTCATGAGTGACAGTGTTGGGGGGATGGGAAATGTTTTATTTATTTATTTATTTTTTATTGCATTGCAATTGAAAGAATGGGAAATCTGTTGATTGTCGAGCGCCAAATAAACACAGAGATGGACAGGAAAAGGTCAAAGCCATCAGGTGCCCAATTTAGAAAAAAAAGAAAAGAAGAAAATGAGAAACGAGCAAAAGATAAAGGTATGCAACTATGTTCTCTCTGTATGATTATTACGGTATCCATGTCATGAATGAAGGGCTAATGTTAATTGGTGGGTATAACTCTTAAGTTTGTTAGCCTTTTTGCTATGATGCTTGCTATGCTTATACAAGAATAATTCGGTTTTAACTCACACACGAGATCTAATTTCACCATAATATTGTGCTTTGCAACAAAACTGTTACAAGTTCAGTTATTATTTATTATCATCAGTTGGGTTAACGTTAGGCCCTGTAATTAGCCAACGGAATTTTCTAATCTGTGTAATTATAATTTAAATCTGACTACTTTTCAAATTTGATTTCATAAACCAACATCTCAGACGTTATGTCAAAACGTTATTGGGGTTTCAAATCAAAAAATGACTTTCTGTTACAGAACAGGTCATTGATTTCATACATGTCCACTGTAGAGGACATCAGGACTTAAATCATGTTTATCAGGCATTTTGGGAGACACAACAAGTGAATATGGAAATAAATTATACATCAATATTCCTATGAAATATTAGATATTATTATTAAAATGTTGCCAATTATTACTCCAATTATTACACTTCTTTTTTCATTAAATGTTGCTCCAAGAACACATTAATATGCAAATTAGATACAGTGTATAGTGTATATTTATTTAAGTTCTGATAACTTATACTGTCATATTTTGTGAAGAATTTAGTTCAATGTCTTTTGGCAATGTTGGAGGTGGAGACTGTGCACCTTAAAAAGTGTGTTTCCTGTTGTAATTGCAATAGTTAAATAACTGGATTCTCTTAAGTGTGTTTTTCAAATGTTTTTTTTGGAGGGGGGCGCTCGAAGGGGGTCTCGCCCAGGGTGTAATTCAATGTAGAACCGCCACTGCTAATATACATAGACCCAAATAACCAGTGTTGTTTTAATTGGGTCTTGAAGCATCAACTAAGTAATAAAGGACAGACAGAAAGCACAAGACTCTTACCTGTCACTGTAGGCTGCTGCAGCTGCTGCGGCTGGTTGGGCATATCTGTATGCTGCATAGCCACCCTGTCAATTACATAAGGGCATCCGTCAGACACATGCAAACAGCAGGGCATCGGTGACATGACATTTTTAGAACCATCTGTCTACAATACAACTGGACTGTTCATACATTATCCCATCTCTTTACAGATCCTAACAATGCAGTGAATGCCAAAAGCTCAGTTACAACCTTAAGAGTGCTGCTGAAAAGCCCTGTCAATGCTCACTAAAATCAACGCTGAGTGATTTAGGTGGTATTTAGTTTGCCAATACAGCTTTTTGTGAAGCCTTTTTGTTTAATGGGGAATTGTCAGATTGACTGCATTAGCTCTTCATATAGATCTCGACATAGATGCCTAACAGCCCGAGTCCGAAAGCGAACCATCTGAGCGTCTTCACTTATCTACGCTGAGTGCAGCAATAGCGGTGCAACCAATGGCTTGTCTTTCCAGTGTGCATCAATCCCATCAATTGAAATGGCAGGGCTGGGCAACTATCGATCAGCATGGTAAGTGGCAATCTGGTATAAACAATTAAAATCAGTCAATGTTTGCTTACTGCGAATGAACCAAATGGAAGATTTGGCTGAAGCTATTGAAGGGGCCTTTTAATTAATGTGGCTGGCCAATACGAGTCTCCTGGCTCGATGCCCAGGGGAGCGGTCTTGACACACACAACGTGCTCATCCGTGACTGGAGAACGGCACAAGACAACACTAAATATTGCTTGTATAAGCATTAGATGACATCTGACAAAGCTATTAATTGCTCCATTCAAGCTAGCTATTAATAGGCGCGTTGTAAGCAGCATCAAATTACATTAGCTGAGACTGTTAGCCACAAGAACCGAGCGTCGTCTGCTAGTCTTCTCGGGGTGACGTTTTGTGAATGCTTACACTCCAAACATGCCAAGCTTTAACCAACGGGGTATTTATTTGCTTTGAGCGAGTATCTAAGTGGCTGGGGTGTTTATTGAAGTGTCTGTTTTAATGAAACGTAGCTCCGCTCTTTGTTATTTTTGCACGCTGACATCACTGGTACATTATGTGAATAATCGTGGTGCCAGAGCTCGTGCAGGACTGAGGCATCACAGATACAGGACTGCATGCTGAATTATAGATGCTCTCATTTATTTTTCAGCTCGGGATTAATGTCCGGTGCTACTCTGCTAAGATCAAATGTTTAGCTACTGGAGTCGAAGAAAAATCAGGTCACAGAAGATTGTGTACATGGATTCTGTAGAAGTTACAGCTTCCTAATTCCGGCTCACACAGATGGATTTAAAGGGATAGATCAACTACATATGATATTTATGTCATTATTTACTCAGCTTCATGTAGTTCCAAACCTGCATGCTGCTTTTTGTGGAACTAAAAAAATAAATAAAAATAAAATAAAATAAATTAAAAAAATAATACTTTTTCAAGATTTTGATCATTGCCTGCCATAAAAACACTGTACAATCTCATACCTGACATTTTGGCATTTGGTTAGGAGACATTTGAAAACCAGTAATGTTTAAGGTTACTGATGTCCAACCTGCACCATTAAAGGCATATTTGAGATTCACAGCAGAGTTGAAGAAAACCAGTGAATAACGACTTAATTTACAGCTTTTCATTACACAAAGTCACTTTGTAAGGCTTATACAGTGTTGTTTAAACGTTTAAAAGATCAAAAATACAGTAAATATTGTTAAATATTTTTGCTAATTAAAATAACTTTTCTATTCAAATCTATTTTAAAATGTAATTTATTCCTGTGATTCCTGTGAATTTTCAGCATCATTACTCCAGTCTTCAGTGTCACATGATCCTTCAGAAATCATTCTAATATGCTGATTTGGTGCTCAAGAAACATTTCTTATTATTATCAATGTTGAAAACAGTTGTTCTGCTCAGTATTTTATGAAACCCGTGATACATTTTTGATTTCAGGATTCTTTGTTGAATAGAACGTAAGAAAAAAACATTAAGCATTTATTTGAAATAGAAATATTTTGCAACATTATAAGTGTATTTACAGACAATGTAATGCATCCTAGGTGAATAAAAGTGTTATTATTATTATTTTAAATCTTACTGACCCCAGATTTTTGAGCGGTAGTGTATATATTGAATATGAGTCTTAAGGACTACATTTTCAGTGCTCTTTTAGAGCTTGACAGCACCTGATCACTACAAAATGTCATTGTATGTGAAGAAAACATCAAGTTACATGGTGAAGATCGATTAAATATTCAGCATACAGGTTTGGAATAACATGAGAGTGAGTAATCTTTACTTTAACTATTCCTTCATAAGTTATCTAAACTTCCGGTTACTCGAAAAGTTGATGGGGTGGTCCACAGAGAAGGATTCTGACTTTATTGGCAAGCAAACGTACTACGTGCATTCGTCAAAATCCGTTCGACCGTTATGAGATCTATCTGGGACTGTAGCCACGGACCTGGCTACGAGTTTGCAAACTTGGCGGCAAACATACTATCGTGCATGCCAGGTAAAGGCATTGCAGTTACATCGACGTTTATTTGTCTTGTTTTAGATCTAAATGTTGAATTAATTTCCATTTTTCATGCAGTGAAATAATCCTGGGAAGGGGAAGCATGCTCTCTGATCACCTGACTGACTAATACGTTCTGACGGCCTGTCAAAAACAATAGGGCCTGGGCACAATCTCGGGCTGTAGCGTGAGGCCTTTGGGCTGTATTTAAATGGAAGCTGAGGGAAAGGCGGATCAAACGCGTGCCATAAATTAAAACAAAAACACTGTAACGTCGACTTCATCAACTTGATCAGGCATGATTTTCCACCCACTTAGAGCAAAACCAAGCAGCGGTGGAGATAAAATGTGGAAGAATGAGATGTTAAGTGCGTACGGGGGTTCGTTTTTGGTTCATTCCACACTGTATTCCACATAGAGATCATCTACAGGCTTCAAAGGAAGCCAAGTTGGAAGTGGTTGAGCCATGTGCGATTTCATTGTGCCATGTAACGGTATGCACAAGGGATGCCAACAAGGCTTTTAGTACACCACAAACGGCCATCCTGGTGGATTTGCACATGGTGACCTGAGCTGACCCTTGGCCTTATGAAAGATTCAGCACCAGCTGAACGCGAGCTACGTGAGCGCCATGTCCTCAACGTTGCATTCTTTTACAGAAACAGTGGAAAAAGCATTGGAATGAGGAAAAACAGAGCATACTCACATAGATCTCAGCACCGTAGAAGCCATCTTGGTAAACCACACTGCAAAAACACAACAAGAAATAACAAAACACAATACATCAGTGCCGAACATCCATGGAGTTTCTTAGCGCTGTATAGAAAAGAAAATAAATTATGCAGCGATGCATTCATTCGGCAGACAAAACAATGCACTCCAGACTGTGAGGAAGGGAAAAAATTGAGCAGATTAGGAAAGACGGCCATTTTCTGTGCTTAGAGAAAAACAATGTTGCTTTATAATGGGCTTTGCTCTGTCTTGTCACTGGGGAAAACCAGTAGGGCACGCCATTAGAGTGTAACGCACTTTATAGCACATATAATGCGAAAATGGCCCTTTGATAAGAGCACTTTTAAGTGCTGAATTTTACCTAATAATGGCCTCAGGCTTGGATGGAAACAAAGCGAGCCATTTGCAGATGCTGTATGTGTATGTTCTGGGTGAAGGGGTACTCACGCTCCGTAAGCAGGAATGGGAGGGGGTGGAGGTACGGCGCGGAACGTGTTGTAGACGGCACGACCTCTGCCTCTCAAGTGGGCGCCCCTGTAAGCCACCGTCGCCCCTGTGGTGGGATAGGGGAAGCCTGTCACTGGAAGAAAAGGAGAGAAGAAAGAAGGTGACATAAGCTTTTGCTTCTAAGAGGCACACCTGTCACCGCCAATCGGCTTTCAGTTGGTAGTGTGACAACACACTGTCATCCTAAAATGTGATGCTTTAAAACAACTCCGACGGATGTCAAACGGTGTGTCATGTTGGCACAACACATCAAGCATGGCAGCATGATGCAGCCAGTGATTCTCAAATGGTTTTGCTCCAGGACCCAGATTTGTGGCAACCTGATACAGTTAAAAGTGTGTTTATCCTCCAGAAGTAAAACAAAATGTCATTCAAAATCAAAAGGTGATATTTATTAAAGGTGCACTATTGAATTCTGAGATTTCTGATGATATGGTTGAAACATAAAATTGCACGTTACTTGTGGAGGAAGTGACAAGCTGTTAATTAGTTTCTTGTTATGGCAGATAATTGATAAACGATCAATATTGGAGTTACATTAAAATATTATAATAAATATATTAAAATAGTATGTTAAAAATAAATAACAAAATTACAATACAAATATTAAAATAAATATATTAAGTTAATAAAAATATTAAACAAATGACAAATATGGATTTCTGGGCTTACGGCCAACATTTGTGGCTGGAATATAAAATTGCAAGTTACTTGTGGATCAACTGATTCATCAATATTAAAATTCTGGCTGATATTTATTTTCATGTTAATGACAGATAATTAAAAATGTCTATTAAAATATTATTAAAATAACTATAAAATTATCATTTAACATTTAAAATTCAATTAAAATAATAAATATTTTAAAAATATATTAAATTAATAAAAATATATATATATAAAAAAACAATGTAAATGCTATATTAGAGAATTTTAGGAGGACAACATTATAATGTACAGTATGAAAATTGGATATCCATGCTAAAGATTACATTTAACAGTATAATTAAATATATTTTTAATTTTCAGAGTTTTTAAAGATTAAGCTTTAGTTATCATTACATGATGGCAAAGGTAATCTTAAAAAACCCCAAAACACTAATATCAACTTCTGTGCTATCAAGTGTGGCACAGATATATTGTGCATCTGACGCAATAATTAAGTTACCATGAAGAATTAAATGAGAGCATAAACAGCACAGGCCCAACAATATGCAAAATTATTAAAAATAATCCACACCAAATGGGAAGCACCACACTGCTCTAAACTAAAATTTCCAGGTTTTATTGAATACTTGAATGCAACTGAATACTTAGCATTAATCTGAGCACCTGTAGAACGAAACGCTAAGGCATCCCTTATCTGGGGAAGCCTCTCTATTGTGGTTATCTCTGAAAGCTTGAGCGTGGGGTGTGTGTGAGTATGTCTGGCTGCTCTCCTGCTCTGGAGGGGTGTGTGCGAGGCGGGGAGATGGTAGGTTGTTGTAGGTGAGACACAAGGTGCTGGCACGCAGGGCTGAGAGAGCAGATGGAGAGGATTGTTTAGAGATGCAATCACAGGCTGGCGCCATCCCTCATCTCTCTCCCCAAACACACTTCCCCAGACTCTCGCCACCACTGGGGCCAGCCCCAGCCTGGAGGAGAGCAGGGACAACTCAGGGTCAAGACTGGGGGAGGTGGCAGAGAGTTGAGAGACAGAGAGAGAGAATCAGGCTTTATGCATGTTAAGGAAACATACACGGATGTGAAAGTGAAACAGACAGAATGAAACTTGAAACAGTGTGTGCAACAATAAATAGGTGAAAACATGTCCAGGTCACATTTCACACAGTCTCAGCCACAGATACCTGCAGACTGCCCGCAATCCATTAGATGGATATTGCACACAAAAATGGAAAGCTCTTTCTCAGTTTCACAAGCTCTAATCTGACTGGACGACTAAGTATTAAAACACTTTTTTAGTGACACTTTATAATAGGGTTCCATTAGTTAATGTAAGTTAATGTATTAACTAACATGAACGAATAATGAAGTATACATTTATTACAGTCTTTATTAATCTTTGTTAATGTTAGTTAATGAAAATACAGTCGTTCATCGTTGATTCATGTTAATTCACAGTCCATTAACTAATGTTAATGTTCACAAATTTCAATTTTAATAATGCATTAGTAAATGTTGAAATTGAAATGAACTAAGATTAATAAATGCTGTAGAAGGATTGTTCATTCTTAGTTCATGTTAACTAAAGTTGTTAACTAATGTTAACTAATGAACTTTATTGTAAAATATTAACCCTTTTTAAACAGACTAAATTTCAGACTACATTTTACCCCAAAATCTAAAGAAAAAACAAACAAACATATATATATATTTAAATTTTTTGCTTTGTTATTTTTTCTTGCATCCATGTTTTACTTAATGAGTATGTTTACTTAATTTTAAATTTAATTCAGCATTAATTAATAGAAGTATAGCAAGTACTATTTATTTTTAAGATTTAATAAGAATGAGATTTCTGGTATTACAAAGAACATATAGATTTTGATTTAAATCTTAATGATCTTACACATAGTGTTAGTTTTCTTCAAACATTTATTAATTTATTGACAAAAGAATGCAGGCACATCAAAAAAATAGATAAATACTGGTGCAGGATCCGAAAAACAGCACAAAAATCTAAAGTAAACTGCACATCGTAGATTGAGAAGGAGCTGGATGTTGGAAAACATTACTCTCTATTAAATCCTGTTTATTGGAATTTTCTAAGTGTGCAGTTCCATTCATTTGCACATAATGTTTTGTGACATATGACCTGTGCATGTTCTTGACAGGTTTGAGAGTGTGAGATTCACCCAAATAATAGAGAGAACGAGACATTAGAAAAACATATTTGAGAATTATAGAAAAACCTACATAATGAAAAGACAACATCAGGAAAATGAGCAAAACAGTAAAAAAAAGAAGAAGTGAAATCAAGAACATGTTACACCCAAGCCTCTCTTTAACCTTCACTGAGTATGGTCCTGATGAGTCAATGACAGCGCCATAATTACCCATAGTACTGTGCAAGCAAAACCCAGCCCAGCAGTGCAGCCCACAAAGCTCTCTTTCTCATTTATGCACCGATGACACTATCGCTGTCTACCCTGCGTCTCAGAGGAGCAGGACAGCCCTCTTCAGTTATTTCATGTCCCCAAACAAAACCTGTGCCTCCTCCTGATCATTACTGTACAGACATCAGCCAAGCAGCACTCAGTTAATAGTCAATATGTGTCAAAGTTACCACTTTTAACGAGGTCAGCTGGGTTTATTTTAAGCACATATATGTATGTATATACTATATTTAGCACACTGCCTTGGTGTAAAAACTTCTTCGATTCACATTCAGCAAACTTTTGGCCCTGGGGTTTCGCAAGTGCTGGTATAATTTCCCTTTGACTCTGTTATCTCCTCTCAGACAAACAAACAAACAATAAAACCTCTTGTATGCGACACACCAATCAGTGGTGGAGAGGTACGGCACGGCCCTTCATCAGAAGAAAAAGAAAGACAGATGGCTGAAGGTAAGGCGTTTGCTCTTTCGTTTTGATATAGCGCAGAGCCGTTGGCATTTTAATTTGTCCCTTTTAAGCTATAGAGTCGGTGTTAATATGCCAAACAGTGGTCATCTCTGATATATGCCAGGCCATGGTCAATTTATCCCGAATTCCAGTCATGGGCAATGCTCTTATATTTTCTTTGATTTTGTGTGTGTACATTATGTGTGCCATGACGTACATAAATGTAATCTCATAATGAGCTATGGGTCTGCACGCAGCACCGATTCAATAATAAGCCATAAATCATTCCAGCCAGTTATGACACTCCATAAAGCCTCCGAAACACACAACGGCAAAAGTGTACGTGAGCATAAATCTTTGTAGCCCTCGTGCGCCCCTGTTATTTCAACACAAGAGAAGGTGGAGAGGGTCGAAACCCTTCACATCTGCACATCTACAGTTTAAACTGATAAGGACATTGACACATTGCTGCATCTATCTGGGTTTACACAGGGGCATCTCTAGTGCTGGAAAGCGTCCCGTTGGGCTGCCTGGATGAAGGTGTGGGGGCAATTACATCCCCTACCCCTTTGGGACTCTTTCATTTACTGCAAGACTGGCTCCTTTAATACGGTGCGGCTGGAAATCGCCGGGTGAGGGCCTCTCTCAGACTGCGTGCTATTGTGAAACGTCTTTAGATAATCAGACCACCGATAAACCCATATCATGAGGAAAATTACACCATTGCTAAACTAAAGGGAGTTTTTTGCCTCCCCCGATACTTCTAATATTGTAATTAGACTGCTTAATTTAAATTATGGATCTATTTGAGTGGTTTTATAATTGAAAAAGCTATTTTAAAGAAGTGCACACACATAGGTGCACCATTAAGTGCTTCAATATAAGGCCCCAAATGTACTCTACACAAGTGTGCAACAGAGATGTGAATGCTTGAATATACTTAATATTTGCATACTTCAAGTTGTTACGTTTTTGGGGTGTAGTCGTGGTAATAAACCTAGGGGGCACTAAAGTTAAAGTGCTGAAGGGATGACGCATTTTTGAAGATCAATTTGGAAGTGAGCATCACTCTGATTCCCTCTACAAAAAGCCATAGGATTTTTTTTCCATTGTCTTTTGAAATACTGCTGAGTTTGCAAGTTTATGATTCTTACATGCTGTGTTCATCAACATAATCTTTACAAATGAACACAACTTTTACAAATTTTGAAGCCTAAATACAATCTACAAGTAAGTAAAAATATCTTTATTTCTGAGTTTCTGAGTTTGAGTTAGAGTAGTTTACAAGAGCGTGAGCATGAACACAACAAGGCTGTAAAAGTGGACTAGTGAGTAGTTCTTATGTTCAGGATGATGACATTTAATATCCTCAGCATTAGCAACCACTTTTTTTTCAAGAAACATAAAAAACATTTAAAAAAAATCACTCATGGGGTATTACTTATGCATTTTATGTTGTAGGATAAAACATGAAATTATCTTGAGTTTGTGTCAACCATAGACCTCATTT